CCGAAGCGCTGGTGCTCAGCCGGCCCCTCAGCGTGGCCGAGCTGAGCCGGCTCCGGCGGCAGTTCATCAGCTACGCCAAGATGCAGCCCAGCGACGAGAACCTGCCCCAGCTGGCCAACATGTTCGTGCAGTACCTGAGCCGCAGCATCCAGTGAGGCCTGCAGCCTGGCCGCGGCCCCGGCCCAAAGTGCCCACAGCCTGGCGAGAGCATGTTCTGGCTGTTGCTTCCCGCCTGCTGACCCCGAGGAGCTTGTGTCCTGCCCATCCCGTATCAGATTCGGCAGCCACAGCTGTGGGAAGATGGGTTTCGTGTTCCTGCAGCAGCTGAAGAAGCTGTGCCGCAAAGAGGAGCGACAGGGATGCCACCTCCACGTTCTCCCCATCTTCTGAAAAGCAGGTCTGCTGTTGTATCCTCATGCCACCGAACAGCCTTCTGTGGAGACCTAAACCCCCCCAAATCATAGCGTGTGAACACGAGAGCCCAAAGGTGATGGCTGTGGGGTACCTTCTCCCCTCCCCATTGGCATATATCTTGAATAAGAAGATTGGTTTTCTAAGGCTCTCTCCAAATATGCCAGGTTGCAGAAGAGGCTTCTGTTCCAGGACCGGGGCATGCAGTATTTCTAGGATGTAACTGTTTCAAAAAATCCTACTGAACCCAAGGGACAGATTTGCAAATGCTGCACAACAGAAGGGTGCTGGCTTAGCGTGTTCAGACCTCTCATTTTATTGTTAAGCCTGAAACAGTGTGCCTTAAATGGAGAGGAGCCTTAGTTTACTTGCAGGACTGTTTTATTGAAATAACTGGCTATAGCTTTTCTCTGCAAGATCATCATTAAACACATCTAAATATGTTAATTGTTTAAGAATGACCACTCTCATAATGTGGATGACCTGAAATGATGTTGTCTGCTCTGGGTCTGACCTTGAAACTCTCCCAAAGTCTTTACCAGCTGTGACAGAATAGCTTAGTTTTGGCCTTACTTTCAACTTACTTCAGTCTTTGCTGTATGAGGTATATAGCTTATATATAGTTCTCCACTCTCTTACTTTCTGATGGATGATTCGTCCCTCTTTTTCATAAACACTGTTGAGTTTTGGTTTTAACTGTATGTGTAGTGTTACCTGGGAGGAAATGGTGAAGGGGGCAGGAAGGGTTACTTAAGTGAGTTGCTTGGCTTTGGCTGTTTATCTGATATAGCAGCTGCTAAATGGACTTCTGTACTGTGGAACTGAGAAATGACTACAAAATGTTTTGATGTATATAATCTCATTTCCTAATCAGAGTAAAGAGAATAAAGTGGAGGAGAAAACGCATTCAGTATCTGTAAAACTTCTGTGAGTTCTTCCTGGCTCAGAGCTTGTACTTCAGGGTTGCAAACAGCTCCGTTTAAAACCTGCTTTGAAAATTTCTCTTAGCATGAAAAAAAAAAGTGTGGTTCTGAACCAGTTACTAGATGGTTTAATTCTTATGACATGAAGCACTGATCCTTGATGATAAGAGCAGCACATATTTTACAGACTTAAATCAGTCTCTCCTGGAGAAAGGAGCGAAATCATGTTGGGCTCTATGGATGCAAGGAAGAAAGTGTGTTTTCATCATCATATGCAAGAGAGGGAAGGGAGAGGATGAAGATGTAATACTAGCTTCACTAGGAAAGTATGCATTCTTGCTCCTTACTGCAAAGTCCTCGGTAAAGAGGATGTTAGCGTATTGGCTATTGAGAAATGGCAGACTTCTGTTTGAACTACTCTAAATGTTAATTCCTTCCTTCCTACCCTTTCCTGGTTTTGAAGGCCATGACTGAATGTTGCTAAATAGAGATTTCCCTTCAGACCTTTCTACAGCTAAGTAAGAACTTGCCTTTCAGTTCTGCTGGTAATGAATTCATTTGCCATCATGTGCAAAGCTATTTAAATTCTATGGATGAAAACTGAGAGCCTTACCTTATTCTTAACCCCCAAAATGGTAACATTCAGAGTTTACAGTAGCAAAAAGCTTAGCTTGGCTTTTCTTTGCATCCCCAAAATAAGTGTCTGTATGCCATGTTCTCTGTGTATCTTTCTAGATTCCTCCTTTCACCTAGTTTTAGGTTGTTTTTACTGTTGTAGAAGCTATAGCACTATCACCAGCTCCCCTTGGCTACTCATCCACAGCTTAAAGGATTTATCAGTAAGACAAAAGAATATGAGATTCCCAAATCCTTGTTCTTAGACTTTCGTATTTTTTTGCACCGGTCAGGTTTCACCACTTCAACTACTGGATGGCTGAAACAATGAAAGGTTAGGTTGAAACAGTGCAGAAGGTTCGGAGGTGAGCGTCGTACTACTTATATATACTCAGAGTAGGTCTATATGGTGTAGCAATGAGTGACCTGAAAGGGATGTCACTTTTTTTGTTAGAAAGGTGAACATCATGTTAAATAGTCAAGGCATTTTACTCAGAGCAGTGGAGTAATGGATTAGTAGGACCACTACCACTAACAGCAGGAAATACATGAAATTCCTAGTGTGTTTAAGGTCTCTTTGTTTAATCACATAATGCAACCTCAATACAATACAAAGGAGCTTAGAGAACTTGAACTTTGTAAACTTGACTTTGTCAGAAGGTGAAATGCTAGGGGAATTTTTAAAGAACATGGTTAAATAAAACACAGGCAATGGAAACTTAGCCTATAGGAATGTGTAGGAAGTGAATGTCAAGTGAATTCTTTGGAAGGAAAGAGCGAGACTAATGTTCATGTGGTCACTTGATATGCTGAACTTAATACTCTGTATTGTCCTTTGCAAGTAACTGCTCGTTATTCATTGTACAGGGAACTTAGGCTCTTAACTTTGGTCCTTTACATTGCACTTCATTTATGCTTCAGTTCTGCATAGTCCTCTTCCTTGCTTGTCCTGCCACTTGTCACACCTGTCGCAGATTTGTTGCAGCACGCCACCGGGTTGGAAACTAGCCTGGCAACCAAGGGGTTTGCTTGGTTACCGTGTCTGATTATTGCTCGATGGGGTTCTCAGTCCTGGGAGGCTGTAAAAGGGGGCAGCTGAAATGCCTAGTCAGGAATGGGGAAAGATACCAAAGTATGGCTGTCATCCTCTGGATTGACTTGAACAACCATGAGAATCCATCCTGAGATCTCTAGAGTAGCTGGTGTGACTAACTACTGTCAGCTTGATAAAAAATGCATCACCAGTTGGGCATCTAAGCAAATCTGAACTAAGAGCAAACCTTGCAAAGAGAAAGTCTCTTAGTCCTTGATAACAGTTACTGGCTGGCGCTTACAATAAATGAATTTTATGCGTGTTTAAGATTGGGAAAATCTTTTGCAAGAAAACGAAACTTTAGACTACAGCAGAAGCTATTTACATCTCTGTTATTTTCTAATACATATAGCCTTTGTAGATGTCTTGACCATTACAACATGCATGTTACAGAATTTGTTTTAGAGGCTCAGTTGTAAGCTGTCTTTGATCTTTGACAATCTGTTTTGTTTTGTTCTGTTTTGTTTTTTGAAGTGGCTTGCCCCTTATGGTTATCATCCACAAGTCTTGGTGTGGAGCTTGTAAAGGTAGGTATATGTAGTACTACACCTTGCTGACATTTCTAATTGACTCTTCTATACAAATTTTGTTTGAATCATATACAAATTATGGAGCCATGAGAAACATGAACTTTGCATTCAAAATCTAGCTGGCTTTATTTCACTTAGAACGATATCATGTGGCTCCGCTTTACTTGTTAGCACTGCCGAAAACCAGCCGTGTCTAAATGATAGCAAACCAACAGCTGTAATATTGCATTTCTGTAGCGGCCACAATTTCTCCTCTACTGTGCTACAAAAATGGAGCAGAATGAATGATATTCCATGAGGAAAGCATGAATTAAGAGTAAATTACTTTACCTTTAGATGGTATTTCTTAGAAGGTAAGGCTTTGTCCTTTTCAGTACCACGGAGGAACAAGCTGGGGATAATGGCTAAGTTTAAAGGATGGACTGGGTGGTTGAGTGAGAGCCAGAGGGTTATAGCAAGCTTTTTGTGTTCCATGGGTTCAAATATGACCGTGTATGTCTGTCGGGTAGGCTTCATTGTATGACTGCTCAGCAAGGGTTGCTTCAGTTACCTGCTGTTCTGAGCCATGGCTTAAACAGTTTGATGCAGATACTCCATTTACTCAAAGCTCATTGAAAAGTACCTGCTCTCCGGAGGGAGGAATGGAGTAGAGATTTTGGTGCTGATCTGAAATCTTTTCTACCCGCTTTATACATTTTTTTCCTCTTCAATTCCTCCCTTACCCTTTTTCTTCTTTTTCTTAATTAGCTTTAAAGCCAAAGTTTGCTGAATCCAAGGAGATCTCTGAACTTGCCCATAATTTTGTTATGGTCAACCTTGAGGTAGGCTGCCCTCTGGTTTGTATCCATGTCACTGCTAAGTAATTAAGCATGTGGAATGCTTCTTACTGGTTGCGTCCTTTCCTGGCTGCATCCTAATCTTGCATTCCTGAATAGAGTATTCAGGATTGATTGATATAGCTGATTGTTTTAAAAAGAAATCATATTCAATACTATTATTTTAACTGTGTTTATGAACTGTCTTCCGTAGTTTCTTTAACAATTTGTACCTTGTGTCATTCCACTGCAGCAATAAAGGAATTTGTATTCACTCTCTCATTACGTATCAAACATTTCAGCACCAAAGTGAAGTCTGTTTAATGCAAATTGACTAAGGAGCAAAAAAAATACGATTATTTTCACAAATGATACTTCTTTGGGTGAAAATAACCATATTTCCTTTGAAAGTGGAAGATAGTGCAGTTAACTATCTTCTGTTCAAGACATGAATTGCTCAGGGTAACTGGAATCCGGAGACAATAGCTTGTTTCTTTAAAATAAATGCTGTGTTTTGGTAGATACCTCACTGGTACGTCCCCTCTCTTCTGTCTTGCTTTGGTAGGATGATGAAGAGCCAAAGGATGAAGCCTTTAGTCCTGATGGGGGTTACATTCCCCGAATCCTTTTCATGGGTAAGACATCCACAGCTGTTGTATCTACCCACAGGACTGTATTCTTATTGTTACCACCTAAACATCCTGTTTGATTTCTTGCTTCATAGATCCCAGTGGAAAAGTCCACCCAGAGATCATAAATGAGAAAGGAAACCCCAGCTACAAGTATTTCTATACCAATGCTGATCAAGGTAGGTGCAGAGGTGTTTGAAGTGCATCTTTAGTGGGGGAGCGTGAAGGACAAAGATTGGTTTTGAGTGGAAAAAAAAAAGATATTTCACAGCATAACTGGAAGCTGTTACATAGAAGGTGAATGAGTGACTCTTTTGTGTGTTGAGGAGCCATGGTCAGAATTGGAATGCACCTTAGAGGATAACACTTGTAGGACCTAGGCTGTCTCTGCATTTGTGGCACGGAAAACCACACAGTTCATGTGATCCAGCTACAAAAAGCTGTGAGAGGGAAGAGCACAACCCTTTTTTTTCCACGGGTTACTTTGTTGATGGACATTCTGTAAATTTATGTTGATTTAAAACACTTTCCTTACCCGGTGACCTTGGTGTTTTGGTCTTGAGATTAATCAGTTGGTATCTCTGTGTAATCTTACAGTTGTTCAAGGGATGAAGGAGGCCCAGGAGAAGCTAACAGGTGATGCTTTCAAACAAAAACACCTGGGAGACGAACTATAATAAATACACCAAATTATGCTTTTTCATCACTTCAAACTCTAAAATTAAATGATTCTGGTTTTGTTTTTGTTTTTATTTTTTTATTAAACAATTAAAGAAGTCAAGAACGTAGATACACTGGAGGGACATAATTCTCCTGTAAACAAAGTTAGATTAAACCCTGTTTGAAATGCACACGCATGCATTACAGTGTTATCTCCTCTTCTGCCTGGCAGGTTGTACTGTAACGGTCACTTGCAGCTAGGTAATGTGCAAACACACTGATCCCAGAATAGAGGTTCTGTCCCTGCCTGTAGGACAGCAACCACTAGTATTCTGTGTTAAAAGGGAGGTGTGTGGGGGCAACATGCATCTGAGGAAAAACAGTGTGATTGGAGTAATCAGAAGTAGCCAACGTTTTGATGTTTAATCAGGGTTTGATCCGTCTCTGCTCACCGATATTATGTGATCTCATTGTTTTTACTGGGGATATTCAGATGAATGGGGCATGTTCCTGGGCCAGATGTTGTTCAGACATTCCTAACCGTTAATTCTGCCACTAAACCAAGTAGAATAGATTTCATGAATGTCCAAGAAGCATGTGAAATTATTAGCTCTGCAAGCATATTTTTATGTAGAATTCCGTGTGGTGATTTATCTTCATTTGCCTGTGGGCAGAAATTGAACTTATTCCTTGTGCACTCACCTTTTGATTGTTTTATGAAGTGAAGGTGGGTTATGTTCAAACATTATGGGGATTCCCCTTTTATTCTTTGAATGTTTTTGGAGAATGCCTTGTCATCACATTGTACTGTATTTTTGTACCAGGGTGAAAAATTAAACATTTTTAAACATAAACATGTGGACAGTGTTTTGTGTCAAAGGGCATAGCTTTCCATTTTTAAGAACTGGAAAATACATTTTTATTTATGTTGCAGTGGTTATTAATATTGAATGTCACGGCTGAAGAAGGTTTATCCTTTTTACAATTAAAAGACAACAGTAGCTTTTCATGTCATCATAACTCAGCCATTCTTGTACTATATATACTGAAGGCAGTATATAACTGCCTAGCATTATAAACCTAGCATTTATCTACTGGAGCTGAAAGGAAAATGACTCTAATGTTTCTTAAACATAGCATAGCACTTAATCCATTGAGTAAGAGACATTTTTAAAACAAGTCAGAATGGCTCTTGACCAGTGACAGGGTACACAGGAAGCAAATGTTGTCTGTTGAAGGAGTTCTCTAAAGCCGCTAAAGAAAAATCAGAATAGCTGAGGTTGGAAGGGCCCTCTGGAAACTGTCTAATCCAACACCCCTGCTCAAAGCAGTCAGCTAGACAGGTTGCTCAGAACCATGTCCAGTCAGGTATTGCATATCTCCAAGGATGCAAACTCCACAGCCCAGTCCTAGCTCTCTCAGCCTCTCCTTGTATGAGAGATGTTCCAGTCCCTTAATCATCTTCGTGCCCGGACTCCATGTCCTTTTTGTGCTGGGGAGCCCAGTGCTGGAAACAGCACTCCAAATATGGCCTCACCAGCACTGAGCAGAGGGGAAGAATCACCTCCCTGAACCTCCTGGCAACTCTCTTCCTATTGCAGCCCAGGATGCCGTTGGCCGCCTTTGCCACGAGGGTGCATTGCTGGCCCGTGCTCAACTTGGTGCCTATCAGGACCCTAAGGTCCTTCTTTGCAGAGCTGCTTTCCAAGCTTTTCTCCCCTAGCCTGTACCGGTGCATGGGGTTATTCCCCTCCAGGTGCAGGACTTTGTACTTCCCTTTGTTGACATGAGGTTTCTCTCTGCACCTTTCTCCAGCCTGTCAAGGTCCTTCCAAGTGGCAGCACAACCATCTGGTCTATCAAACCCTCCCACCAGTTCTGCATCATCTGCAAACCTGCAGAGGGTGCATGCAGTCCCATCATCCAGGTCATTAATGAAGAGGTTAAACATTATTGTCCCCAGTATCGACCACTGAGGGACACCACTAGTGACTGGCTGCGCTTTGAGCTGCTGATCACAACCCTCTGAGCCTGCCAGTTCTGCCAGTTTTCAGTCCACCTCCCTGTCCATTTAGCTAGACTGTACTTCATCAGTTTGTCTATGAGGATGTTACAGGAGACAGTGTCAAAAGCCTTACTGAAGTCAAGGTAAACAACATCTGCTGCTCTCCCCTCATCCCACCGAGCCAGTCATCTGAAGGAAAATCCTGTCCAAAAGGCAGATGGAAAAGAGAAGGTACAGGGGCTGCAGAGTTGTGCTTTGCAATATCCTGTCCGTTTGCTGTTGACATGACTGCTTGCTGGGTTTTTTGGAGAATGGAGAGAAGAATTATCCTATGGAGTTGCATGCCTGTGCCAGTAAACCTTTTTATGGTGCCTGTGTAAGTTCTGCACGTTAAAAACTCCAGCATGCTGTTTACTCGCTAGTAGGAGGCAGAGCTCATCCAACATATGCACTGAGGGCTTGTTTTTGCTTGAATGTTCCCATTAAGTCATATCTCATCTACACGCTACGTTGCAGAGTTAGCAATGCAAGTCAATGTCAAAAGCAGAGTTACAGACCAGCTTTACTTCTCATCTTCTAACGACTGTTAGTCCTTCCAGGATTGTCCCAGCATTCCCCCTGTTGCCCTTTTCCTTGCTGCTGGTGGCATTTTCAGTTGCACATGTTCTCATCTACAGTGTGAGTCAGGAGCCTGCAAGTCCTTTCTCTATCTTATGAGTGTATCATTCTGCCTCCAACTTGTGAGGCTGAGTGGATGGTTCCGGAACTGCTAAACTTACTTGCGTTTCTCATACATTCTGTGGTCCTAGTGTGGCTTTTTAACTCATGCCCACTAAATGTAGTTTGGTAGTTTTATGTGAAATGTTCTGTGTTTGTTGGGTGTTAATATGATGGAAACCAAAGGAAAAAGACAATAAGCATCTGTAGGTAAATATAAAAATGGCTGTGTATATATACATGCACCTACCTGCACACAGACACATGCACACGCTTGTAATTCATCTTTCTTTGCAGCCCCAAGAAATGCTAAAGATGCACCGCCACATTTTCCTTTTTCTCCATGTTCTCCAGGAACTCAGCTTTGGAATTTCACCAGTCAGTTAAATCCAAGATGTTCCTTTCTGGAAGATTTTTCTCTGAAAAAGGAAGGGGTTTGGACGCTTTTTAGTTTACGTGATTCAGATATGTTCTGAAAAGAAGCATTTTGCTCATAAATAAAAAGGGAAGTTTCAAAGAACAAAATCTTACTATCGTTGTTAAACTAGCTAATATAGTTGGGAGGGGGAAGGACAACTGCTCAGGCACAGCAGCCCTCCTTCAGTTCTGAAATCAAAGCAATAATTTTTAAGCTAAACAAAAGTCAAGAACAATTACTCTGGATTTAATGTGATCAAATTAATCGGTTACACAACTGAATGGAGATTGTGGGCATTTGCAAAGCAAAGACCGAGAAAAGAGGCAATAACACAAATAGATAAATTTCTCTGGATAATTTTGAGGAGCTAGCTGAGGACATTAGGTAGGGGAAATTGTTGTACACCATAAACCCAACAACATATCTACTGAGTCCATTTTTATGCCTCAGTAGTGTTACGAATTTTAGTTTCCAGACTAGTCTTTCTTTAAGGGATTTTGGGCACTGAAACTCAGCTGGACACTAAAAGACAAGGACTCAGCGGAGATAATGGGTTTATTGCACATTACAATTACCCTGCTCAGCTACCAAAGTTATGCTGCTACAGGTTTTATCCTCTGCCTCCCTTGCAAATTGGCTAATAAATTAACAATGAAATTGAGCTCAGCAACTATTCTAGTTGTATCAGCCTTCAAAGTAAATAATTCTATTCAACTCCTGCAAAAGGGTTTGTGTTCCGCACAAATTGTCATTTTTCTAGCTGTATCAGTTGACCTGATAAAAAATAGGTCCTCTCTGACACTCCTTAACTTCATTCATACCCCTAGATTGGCATGACTAAAAACCCATTGCCACTGTTTTTCCTACCTGCCACCAGGGGGAGGTCTCTGTTCATCTGGGATATGATTCAACAAACTATAATTGAAAAAGCAATTGCAGATGCAAAATAGCAGGGTGCAGCTCTGTGATTTACCAGGCACGCCTGCACAGCCGTCCTGCCCTTGTTTTATCTCTGCAGTGAAATTATAGCCTGTGACATGCACGTCATTCGTCCCAAAGCCTTGCTGTGCAAAATGCTCTGATGTCAGAAGCAATGTGGTCTCAAGGTAATATTTAAAAAGTTCTCCATCTACAGAGATCTCCCTTCCATGACAGATATGGGAAGCGTGTTTCATCCTTTATATTTAAAACCATCCTGATTCAAAAATACTCTCCTTCACCTCTTCTCTCATGCATCTCTTCTCCTTCAGCACATTCTGCCTTCCAGACTTTGCTACTTCTGATGGAAAAACTATCCTGCGACCCTTTTTCCTGTGGCATCATTTAGGTGATGGCTGTGTCCCAACATTTTGGACATGGTGAGCTGATAGAGCCTCTGCATCTCTGCCATCCCTTGTACTTGCTCTTCTCTCAATCATGCTTTCATCCTTCTCAGTAGCAAGGTGGACCTGGGCGCTTGCTGGCTGGGGTGGTGTTTGTCCTGGGTGACAGAATATGACGTGTGTCCTGCCATGCCTTGAATGCTGTGGGCAGCTAGTTAACAAGTGCAGAAGCCAGTTCACATCTCTGGATTGCAGGCTAAACTTACTTTTGATCTGTTACTTAAATATAAATGTTTTTCTCATGGTATCTATTGTTTTATACCCTGATATTTTAGTCACTAATTCATAATGCAGATTCTTTACACCATTCTGCTTTTTGATCTAGACTGGATGATGAATGCTGGCTGGCATGTTCCCCCATACAGAGGGATACTTTGGGAACCCTTCATGCTGCAATTCCTTTTTTACATTGTATTATTTCACGCACACAAGCAACTCCATAGGGTTTAGAGGAGCTTCTTACAGGTCACTGTTTGTATTTGATTCTAAAGTTCATTATGCACTGCAGCAGCTCAGCAGTGAGCAGTAATAGAAGCCTCGTTTCAGCCTTGTTTCTTGCACATGTCCATTTGCATATGACTTGCAATAAACCTATATACTTACATTATAGATGTAAGATTTACATCTTAGATCCATCCACCTTAGATCCATCCACAAAATCCCCTTGGATTCTCAGCTTCTTCCCCTTTCATGAGGACAACAAAACCTAAAGGCACTTCAAAATCTGAAGTGTAGACCCAGGCCAAATCAATCTCATACAAACATACATGCTGTCAGCTCCCTTCCTCCTAGAAACAACCCACAGAGGAAAAAACCCAAAGTTAATTAAAGAGTGACTCGATTGCAGCTAGCCATCTGGCTGCCTGGGAACAGAGGTTGCTCTGTGCACCTGGGGCTGAGCAGGCTTTAAGCAAGTGTCAGCTAGAGACTCTGGGAACCTTCTCTCTGCCTTGCAAAGCAGCAGAGAACAAAAGTGCGAGAGGCAAGAACGCCAGCACTGCCAGAGCATCCTGTCCGTCATTCGAGCGAGTGGAGTTCAGGACTCATCCCCTTCGAATGCACTTTTGTTCCCACATCAGTCTGTCTGCCATCATATCTAGCCTGTATCAAACTGATAATGAGCTTCATTCATTGTCCTCACTTAGAGCTTGTATACTGAATAGCTCTGCAGCGAAACATTATTAAACCTCTATGAGTGCAAGGTCATATATCCTTGGAGATGATGAAACTCTTCTTAACTTTTGGCAAGAGGAGAGGCATTTGCATTTGCATTATGTTGTTAGATTTGTTTATGGCTGTAGTATTATGCCTGGTTGGGTTTGCGCAGCACAGA